TAGATTATCTCGATACTTGGAAAGCTATGGAAGATGTGCTGGCCAAAGGTTTGACGAAAAACATTGGTGTCAGTAATTTTAATTCCGAACAGATCACCAGATTGCTCGAGAATGCAACGGTTAAACCTGTTACAAATCAGGTAAATTAAGATTATTAAGAATGATAATAATTGTAAAAAACTCTGACAATAATTAATTTTTATTAAATTCAATCTAATTACCCATACAGCACAGAAAGATTGCAAAATGATTGTAGATATATCTCATTGCAATATTGTAATATTGCAAATAGATTGTACATTGCTGTAATGTCATAGCGTCATAAAAATGTCTGCCTTCAGCAAGATTGCGCTGTAATGTCGTAGCGCAATGTTGTAGCGCAATGTATTTGCAACTATTATTAAAAATAGTTCTTTTATTATTATTAAATATAATTTGAAATACAATTTGTGATATAAATAAAAAAAATGCAGAAAAAGAACTAATTAATATATACTTTATATTATATATAAAATTTAATATTTTATATATAATTTTATATAATTATTGTATTTTATACTTAATTGGAAATATTTTATATGCAGGTATATATATTTTTTAAAGTTTACTTATATGGACATATATGTTTTACACTTTATGCAGGTACGCCTATTTTGCACATATTCTTAACTGGTGAAATAGAAATAATAAGAAACTTCACGCATTTTATTTCATTTTCTTTGCAATATTCAAAGAATTGTTTAAATCTAAATATTCCAAAAAGTTACACAGGCTTGCATGGTTTTGTTGATTGGGATTTGACAATGCTTTCTTGCGTAATTTTTTGCGCTGAATCCGAATCCGGTTGCAGAATTGCTCTATCACGTCAAGATTTCGAGATATCCTAACCTAAAACTGTCAAAAAAGCCGTTTTCAACCATATTTTAAATTAAAAATTAAGAAAATTTTTGTTGTCAAATCCATCAACGGTATCATTTACTACTATACGGCGCCTTCAAAATCCATTTTGAACCATCTCAAAGCGATTTTTTCTTTCGGAGATATATTTATTCAAAGTTCAATGAATCGTACCTCATAGGAGCTTAATCCATATACCGTTGTATTAGAACAAACGGATTTCTGGACAGATTAGTTGACTGTTCTACCTTTTGTTACAGAATATTTTTAAATCTGCGAGAATTGTTATACTTTCACTGCTCGTATCTTACTAGTATTTTAAATACAACAAAATTTGACAACAAAAATTTTCTTAATTTTTAATTTGATTTAAAATTGATTGAAAATGGCTTTTTTGGCAGTTTTAGGTAAAGTATCTCGAAATCTTGACGTGATAAAGTAATTCTGCAGCCGGATTCGGGTTCAGCGTAAAAAATTACGTAAGAAAGCATTGTCAAATCCCAATCAACTTTCAACACCTCCAATTTTACAGGCCTGTGTTATGAAAGTTGAAAAATCTTGTCGCGCGGTGACGACAACAATGGGCGAGTTCAAGACGGCAAAGCGGCTAGGCGTGCTTACCGAGCGATTGAATATGATTGGTTGGATCTATAAGTAACAACCAATTATGTTCATTTGCTTGGCGAGCAGGTTAGCCGCTTTGTCAACTTGAACGCGCCCAATGTTTCAACGAACATTATAATTCCTAAATTAATGGAAATAATTAATAATTATATAAAGTGTAATTAACGTATTTTTCCATATGTGACAGCAGTTCATTATTCACTTTATATAAAAGCTAAAATGTTTTTAATATCTCTGTTGCAAACAATGCTGCAAGCCTAATTTGTATAATCTTGCGTCGTAATACGTATTATACAGGATGTTAATTAAGTATGTTGCCATACTTAACTAACACCCTGTATATATTATAATTTCTGATATCTACAATGTTACAGTGATATTACAGCGCAATCTGCAATGTTGCAATGTTTTTGCAATGATACTGCAAGTTTCTGTGCTGTATGGGTATGTTAATTGAAATTATTTTTCAAAATAGGATATTATTTTGGAAAGTCAAAAATTTGACAATATAAAGAAATCCTGCTCTTTTATAGCTAACAGTACTTTTTGATTTATACATGTTACATAGAAATTATATACAAAGAAAAATAATAAAAACATAAGTATCTCCATTGACATCTCTGGACACTTTTCTTTATTTTTGTATTATTTTTCAGGTCGAATGCCATCCATACTTGGCGCAAAAAAAGCTATCAGACTTCTGCAAGGAAAGAGACATTCTTATTACAGCTTACAGTCCACTCGGATCACCAGATAGACCATGGGCTAAGCCTGATGATCCAAAATTGTTAGAAGACAAGAAATTAATTGACCTCGGGAAGAAATATAACAAGACTCCTGCACAAATACTTATTCGTTATCAGGTATGTTATTACGATGTTAATGTCTCAAGTGTACTTTATAATAAATTATTAAACTCGTCTAATAAAAAGTATTGCATATAATTTAATACTTTTAAGTTATAGTTCAATATTTATGATTTTTTATACATTAATATAAAACTTTAATAATTATTTGCAGGTGGATCGTGGCCATATAGTGATTCCTAAATCAGTTACCAAGTCACGAATTGCTCAGAACATGAACATATTTGATTTTAAACTTTCACCCGAAGATATTGCTTATATTGACACTTTTGATTGTAACGGAAGAATTTGTCCAGTAGAGGGGTAAGGATTTACTAGTTTATGTTTATCGTTGTTATTTAAAGACGACATTTTATATACTAATACATAGGATATAGAATATAATAAATAAAACTTTTATCAAGTTTTGCGATATATTAATATTTCTTTTTATTTTTTATTTTCAGGTCGAAAGCCAGTCCTTATTATCCATTTAATATTCCATTCTGAGAAATCAAAATGAGCAAATGAAGTTATGATATATCTGTGTCTGTCTTCTATTAAACTTTTCGCATTTTAATTTTTGCAAACATATTTTTGAACATTATTAGTTTGTGTGTATATATTTTTCTTTCACGATATTTTCTTATAATATTACTTTTATAAATATTACAGCAAATACATTCTATAGTTATTGTTACTGTTTTACCAAATATTAATTTTTTATACAGAATTCAATTATATCAAAACTTGTGCACGTGTGATGAAATAAAGGGTACGTTTATATTGCATAAAATAATAGTACAGCGAGTTATTACCACTAATTGACGAACTACTAATTTACTAACTACAGGAATAAATCTTCTAAAAACTCCTTGTTGCTGTCAATTTCTGATCCCGAATGAAGAATCCTTGAAAATGTTGATTAATAAATTTTGTCCAATAGTCTAATAATATTACAATTATACAGTTGAATCATTCTTATCAGTGTTTTTCTTCGCAATCCTATTTGCACATATTAATTTGCATATAAGCGGCAAAAGTCACGTACTCGTCATACATATTATTGAGCTCACATGGCAATGAGAATTGTTCTAATTGTATGAGTGGCTGCGATACACCTGAAAATTCATTTACAAGCTTTATAGGCTTTCATACAAGAACACTTTATGACATGTCACCATACTATTTCTTACCACAGCGAATTTAGTTGAGAGAATAGATTGAATTTTCACGACGTGATAATTGTTGCATCTTTGAGCAGAAGTAGAATATGTATAGGTTTTTCATTTCTCTTTACTATTTTTCTTGTTCTTTCATATTGAATTTTGCTTTATTTTTATTTCTGTTTGCGTAGGTGGTCGAGCGAATTGAATCTTGAGTTGCATAGTCATGTAAAAATTTTGAGCATCATTTGATGACGATATTTTAATTTAGCGTATCGTATTAGAGTTATGCCTCGAAGCTGGGTTAAACATGTGTCCATATAAATATATAAAAGGAGTCTTTAACAGTTAGTTGAGTTTAATTTAGAATCGATTATTAATATAAATATATATATATACAGAGTGTTCCGTAAAGACCCGAATAACGCTTAAGGAGAGATTCCTGAGATCATTTTGAGACGAAAATTCTAATACCAAAATGTTGAGGTTGTAATAACTTTTGAATTATAATTAGTTATAGATAGTGTGTAATTCGAAAACTATTATAGCCTCGATATTTTCGTATTAGGATTTTCATCTTAGAATGATCAAAAGAATCCAAAAATAATAATTGAGACTATAAAAGTAAAATGGTTTTTTACTTATAAGCATTTAAAGTTAGCTTATAATTCAAAAAATTATTGTACTATCTAGAACATTAAAGCTGGTTAATTTGATTGATTTCGTAAATATTCGGACATTAATTATATTGCTGTAATAAGTCATCTTCGCAACCACAGGAGCAGCACTCGCAGAACTCTTCATCGCTGTTGCTGTCTATTTCTGATTCCGAATGCATCATTTCCGAAGATATTGATTGATAGGCCTTGTCCAAAGATCTAACATTGCAATTACATAATTCACGTTTGTGTTTTTCTTCGCAATCGTATCTGCAAATATTAATTTGCTTGCATGCGGAAGGAGTCATACACTCATTGCATGTTTTACTGGAATATATATCACATGGTACCGAAGATTGCGTTAATTGTTTGGATGATTGCGGTACATCTGAAAATTTATGCGATTATTTATAACTGAATATTAATTTAAGGGAGACCCCATCCCTGAGGTTTCAAAAATCGAAATTTTTTTTATTGTTTTAATCATTAGTTTAAACCCTTAAGAATACGAGAAAAAAGATTTGGAAGCGAAATTCAAAGTCAAAGTGGTCGAGAAAGTAAATTTCAACTGCGGCAGGCCGGAGTGACTCCGCCTCTTTTGTAATTCGCCCGGGACTTGCAAGTATACAGAACTATGTATCCTCATCAAAATATCAGCTCTAGATGCTATCTATAGATGTCACAACTTGTACTAAATCCAATTTCAGCAATTTCAGCGTCGGTTTCAGTGTGAGAGTGATGCCATTAATAAATATCAAGAAAGCGCACGCTCCATTTTAAACATATTTTTCTCAAAAACTGCATTTTTCGAGACGGTGTACAGTGCGGAGCATTAATTCTCTTGGTCATAGTAGTGGCTGAACTTATTGACGCTGAGTCGGTAACGTTTAAAGCGCGCGCGCGCGCTTGAAATAAGAAAAATCACTGACAAACTGTGTGGAAATTTATTGCATTTATTTCCTGTTGTGTATAAAATTATATATTCCTGCAGAAATGCATGAATTATATCTTCGTTTAAAATTAATAATTGTGACATTATTTTCAGCTTCAATTTATGACTGCATTTAAGACCAATAACACGCAGTTTATAGTGCTGAAAAATGTAATTAAAATAAAATTTAATAAATTAAATATTAAGGAATAAAACCTGTTTCGATCAAAGATAGAATTCTTTCTTTCTTATTGGACTTATTCATATCGGGCTAATTTTGATTAATATTAATATGAGAAGTATTCATACAAGTCCCTTAAAATTTTTTGAAAATATACTCGGTATTTTCTATAAATATTATAGATTGCAATAATCCATTCCTTTATCTTTTACATTTCTTTATAAAGATTAAAAGATCTTTTACATTTCTTTCTAAACATATATGTTTATCTCCGTTATGTTATATGTATACTTATTTGTGCAATATATAATTTATAATATATAATACATAAATCATAAATTTATATAGATATAAAGAACAGTGTAAACATAAACGGAGATATAATTCATGCATTTCTGCAGGAATATATAATTTTATACGCAACAGGAAAAAAATGCAATAAATTTCCACACAGTTTGTCAGTGACTCTTCTTATTTCAAGCGCGCGCGCGCGCTTTGAGCGTTACCGACTCAGCGTCAATAAGTCCAGCCACTACTATGACCCAGCGAATTAATGCTCCGCACTGTACATGATAATTCAAAAAGTTTACATTGGATTAACTTCAAATTTTAAATGAATATTCTCAGCAATATATCATCTGACGTAGGACTTTTGCAAAAAATATATATATATATTGTGTAGTTTTTTCGATAATTAAAGACAATTTTTTTTCGAAAAATTGCAACTTTTTTTCAAACCGTCGCCATTTCAAGAGAAATCAATATTTTTAAAAATTCCTACGTCAGACGATAACCATAACAGTAAAATGATGTCATTTTTCTTTAGTTAGCATAGATTGAACCATTTTGCCGAAACCGTGTACACCGCTTAAGCCCGTCTCATAAAAAATATTCCCGTAATTGGATCAGGAAGCAGTCATTTTGTCGTTCAAATGAGATAAAAAAATTATTTTTTACACTAGAAAAGATGTATAATAAAACCCTCTCATTCTCAAATTGATTTTTCAATCAAGTTATTCATTTTTTCCCAAAAAATTCACAAAGTTAGAACTGATTTTTAGGTGCCAGAGATGGGATCCTCCCTTAATTATGCAAAATAAATTTACATACATTTTTTTGTTACATTGAATATTTCTAATAAAATTTGAAAGAAAATAGGTCGATCAGTCTATAACATGCCTGTTTTCAAAGCGACGTTAAATAAAGACTCGCAAGGAGGTTTTGTCGAACATGGAGATTTAGATTTGAATACAGCTGAAGAAACTCGTCGGCAAGATTTGCAACAAATACAATCATGCGATTTACTCGCGGTTGTACGTGATGCGCGACGGTCCAATGGAACACAGCATGAAAGCGGTGGACATAATTTTTCGTAGACTTCGAATGGTCTTTTCGATGCCTTTTCGTAAGCATTTAACGTTACCGACGTTGCACATAAGCAGCAAGTCTTCTAAAAATTAAGAAATATACATAGAACAGGAAGTATATAAATGTTGTTTATTCCTAATACTCACTCGTTTCCTATCTTCAAATTTAAATTTTTTCTTCGTCACATATTTATTACGTGTGTAATCTTTTAATAAATCGAATAACTTTTTACCAGTTTCCTTTGATTCCTGCATTTTTTCACTATCACGCTGAAATTTCTTGCAGGACAGCAACTTACTCATTTGTCGCCTGTACATGAATTCTTTACTTTCCAGCTCTCTGATATAGTTTTTCAATTTCAATTCTTCTTCAGCGAATTGACGAATTTTTTTCAGACATATCAGATCTTCGGAATGAATGGAATGTAGGCTAGGTGTATTGCATTTCTGTATCTCATTGCGCAATTCTGCCAATTTTTCTTCCATTTCTTTATTATCCAGCTCCAAGGACTCCAGTTCCATGCCAGTTTCCTCCAGTTTCACATCCGCGTCTATGATCTTATCCTGCATTAACGGAGATTTGATTGTGAGTTCCTATCGCATGAATTATTACTGTAATATTTACTGCTTTAATTTCGATTTTTAAGAGACAAAACCGCTCAAAAAAATTTTTTCCAATTTTTTTAAAATTCACATTCTTAAAATATACACATTGAACAATATTTCTGCGAAGTTTTAAGAAGGATATTTAAGAAGGATAAAAAGAATGATAGAACAGGAATGGTTTGATTATAAGACGCAAGCGGCCTGAAGTCTTTATCTAACATCGTTACTACGAGTCGTATCTATGAAGATCGGTTTCACTTTTTCATATCTAGTACTTGGAACTGATTGCATGACTTGAAATCTTTTGAGTTTTGCAAATGGTGTTTTTTAAATAGTCCATATGTATACAAAGTATATCTTAAGTACGCTAAAAGATTTTAAGGAGTGATTGTTCACATGAATTCAAGACTAAAACTTCATATGATAATTTGTTGGAAACGGCTACATTTCAAAGATACAAGGTGTCAAAGAGTTGGAAAAAAATTTCGTTTTTTTTCAGAAATTTCAAAAATCGTTCCAATTATTTTGATGTAACTTGATAATATGTTTAATGAGCATGAAAGCTTATCTTTTGGAATTATACATTATCTTTTTATTCAAGTAGGGGCGAACCTAAGGATAAGCAAGGCCCCGCCTTACCACACAGCATACTTTATCCTAGGAATGTCCAACGGGCGTCATATTTGAAATATCGCGATAATCTTGTGATATCCGTGGATGGTCTTAGTTATCCAACGGATATCCTGATATACAAGTGTCCGCATGTGTGAGGTCCCACGGACGTCTTAGACGACATCCGTAAGATATCCAAGGAACTCCATGAGATATCACAAGTATATGACGCGCAACTCTTTGCATGACGTATCGTAATTTTGCTCGACATTTTAGAGATAAAAGATTCTAGAGACAAAATATTCTTCCTGGATCCTGGATTGCGCGCATTCACCATGAGACAGGTCACGGGAAATAGAACGGTATTCGTGAGTTCTAAATTATTAATTGATCACACGCGTTCAGTGTGAATTAATACGACGCTATTCTTGAACTTCTTTCGCTTCGCGTCGTAACGCAATGGACGACGCGTGACGCGCTCAGTGGAAATGTACCATAAGACTGCGTTCGGAAATATTACCTGAGTGCCTCAGTGTATCGTTTTGTCATTGTTGTTCACCCAATGTTAAACAAGGATAAGATGATACATGGGGGCACATCCAAGTAATGTTTTCGAATACAGACTTAATATAACATTCAGTATAATAAAAATCTTTATAAGCTTCGTATGAAATATATCTTAATTGGCACGTAATACGTCATATCGTTTGTGTCCAAAATAACTATGACATTCTTTACTTCTAATCTTTTAGTTCTGACACTCTCCAATTGTAATTATTGCAAACCTTTGCTGTACTCCTCACACAGCAATGTATTTTCTTAGGATATTCTAATTTGATCAGATTGATTCCATTTTGATCCAAAACATTAAATCGTCCATATGATTAGCTCAGGACATTTGTAATTATCATTGTATTAATATAAAACATCCCTAGGATATTCTATTTTGATCCGAAAAATTTTGATCACTATAAAAATTTTGATAAATGACATTTTTCAACTTTCGACACATATATGTCACATAATACATTTACATATTTTACGTATATTATAGAGACATGTCTTTGCAATTTAATTGTTAATTTTTTAAATATATACATAAATATAGTTATTATTTCTTTGCTTTATATGAAGAGTCAGATAACTTTAAACAGGGAGAGAGGTATGAGGTGGACAAATTTAAGGAATACAATTTTCCACGCAAAATTACTTTCACCCCACCTCACCCCTGCTTCAGGGGCGCACGACTTCTACGCGAAGCGACTCCCACCCCATCTCCCCCCCTGCTACGAGGCAATGTTTATGTTGTTTATGTTTTTAAAACGTAAACATAGAAATCTCATTGGTCTTAGTACTGTTCAGTCTTCGAAGATAGCCACATTTATATAATCTTACGTTATGTGTACTAATATTCATCCTTGTCTTCATTTGAAATTGGTGAATTTTTCTATTTTTTCTTCATTTCACAATATCATTTCTGTGAATGAAGTTGCATAAGTTTTTCTCGAGGAGATAAAAATAATTCTATCATCAACATCAATGCCACCTACTCGTTGTGGATTGTCAATAAAAGTCGAAAAACGTTCTGTGTCGAAATTGAAATGGATATGGCGTTTTTCGTCTCAACATATAAAAAAAAAATAAAGAAATCAAGTGTTGTTGCAAAATGATTAATCCGAAGCGACTTCGCGTGGGAGTCGTGCATTCCTAAGCAAGGGGGGAGGTGGGATGAGAGTCGCTTCGCATGGAAGTCGTGCGTCCCTGAAACTGGGGGGAGGTGGGATGGGAGTCGTTTTGCATGGAAAGCCATTTCGTAAGCAAGAAAGGATATAGAATAGTTTTTAATATTATATATAGCAGAAATAAAACGTTATTTATTAATCTTTTTTTATTAATAACTTTTTAACGAATAACGAGCGACAGCTAACCTATTGGAGGTCACTCAGGGTCATGATCTTGACAACATATGTCAAGGTCAAAGTCATTAGAGCTGGGTCCCTTAATCGGTATTTTTATCAAGAGTAGTTATATAAGATTAAAAAGTTATTAACAAATTCGAAATTCTAGATAACGAGTCATCCTACAACAGAAGATTTAATTTCCGAAATGGTGAACATAAAAAACAACAGCAGGACCTTAACAAACAAAAAGACTCAGAATCGCTCTCAGATGCATACCTTTTCATATTACAATTACTATCCCTTTCCTAAGATCTTTCCCTCATCCCTCGTCTATACTGTTACCGATTACCCCATCCTTTTTTTCCTTTCTTACGACCCCCAAATACTTCGAGATCATGCTAGCTTACCATTTCAAATTCATCGACTTTGATAACAACATCTCAACGCACAGCACACTGCAAAACGATTCAATTTTTTAAAAATCTTTGTACAATATTTCAATTAACATGTGAGGAATAGGAACACTTCTGTTGAGGTAATTACATCCATCGATATTAAATACAACATACGTATTACACAACCCAGTCAGAAATGTAGAGTTGAATCA